TTGGAACTGTACTTGGCCTTTTGTTATGATGGAGGGACTCACCATCAACTAAGTAGCACTTGCTAGGCAAGATTCATGGGTTTTAAAACTGTGAATTGAGAGAGGCTGGGGACAAGCATTAATACTTGGTGGTATGGGCCCCTTGGTGAGGGTCTTACATGCTAATTGCACTTCCTCCTCTCTCCACTGTGAAATATCAGAGCTAATTTTGATTCCATTAGGAGTGTAGTTACAGGCTGCTGAGCTCACTTGGGGCTAATGGTGCACCAGCACTGAGGCTCCCCTACTACAAGCTGAATTCACCAAAGAGCTGAACTGACTAAGAGCTGAAATCACTGAGCATTGTGTTAAGTAGGGGGGGAGCCTGAAGATATATTGTGGAGCAGTTTGCGGGAGGGCTGGAGTGCCTTGTGGACAGGCTGGTGGAGCAGTTTGGAGGGCGGGAGCTGCTGGTGGGATGTGGAGCAGTTCGTGGGACGGTGGGATGCGGAGCTGAGTGAAGGAGTTTGTGGGGCAGCTGAGTTCGTGGGGCGGCTGGCGGAGCAAAGTGAAGGCCTATGGAGCTGTGGGGTGGTCAGCTTCAGATCATGTAAGGTGCCTCTTACCCCCCTCCCATCTCCACCCAGGTTGGGAGGTAAAGCTCTGCAGATAAATTTTCGAACTCTGGGGCTGCCCTGACCAGGGACAGAGACTTTTGGGTCATTGGACTTTTGGGACTTTGGGTGATTTGGGGTTGCTGGACTCAAGAACCAAAGGGAAAGGGGCCTGTCCCAATTTGCTTGGGGTGGGTTTTTTTTGCTCATGGGTTGTGTTATGAATCCTGTTGGTGGTGTTTCCCCAACATAATGCCACATTGTTTCTCTCTATTATTAAAAGGCTTTTTACTACACTCAGACTATGTGCTTGCGAGAGGGGAAGTATTGCCTCTTGGAGGCGCCCAGCGGGGGTGGTATATATTTGTCCCAGGTCACTGGGTGGGGGCTCGAGCCGGTTTGCATTGTGTTATTGGACTGGATCCCCTAGATATTGAACCCAGCCCTTGTTGCTGCCAACTCTGACGGGCAGAAGGGTTACACGTATAAACGGCTAAGGAAAGAAACCAGCGAGATCAGCTGAGGACAAATGGAGCCTGCGCCTTCCGGCTTTAAATTGTAGCACCATCGGCATTTCGCAACAGCTTACACCATTCTGCTGTGGCTGGGCAGAGTCAGAGCCAGGGCAGCCACGACACAATGCCGGCAATGACCATCACCATCCGCCACTCCCACCAGCCCGGTGCCCAGCGAGCCCAGTGCGCTGAGTACAAACCAGGATTCCTGAGCTCAGAGGGACAGGCGCACTCAGACACGGGAAAGGGGCTGCCAGCCAGGGCAAGACGGCGCACTTGAGATAGCAGAAGAGAAAGAGCCTGACATTTCTTGGGGGCTTCCTTTCTCCCCCCAGCTAGCCCGTCAGAGACTGTCCCCCTGTGGCCAGCCCAGGCCCTAATTCGGGGAGCTCCCCCTCCAGCTTGGGGATAGGCTGTGAAAGGAGCCAGCCACCCAGGGGTGCTAACAGCCCATCCCACCCAGATGTTCTCAGAGGGTTTATGAGCTAGGGTGTAGCAACTGGGGCAATTGGCTGGGGCCCCAAGCTACAGGGGCGCGAGGGTGCTCGGTGCTTCAGAAATGTAGGAGCCAGAAGGGGAGGCGGGGCGGGAGGCACACCTCTTAGTTTCTGCCGGCGGAGGGGGGTCTAATGCCAGCCCTGATCGCCTGTGAAATGTCCCTGGTGTGCTCTGGAGTTAGACACTGTTACAGTCAGTGCCTTAGGGGCACAGGTGTGGGTGGGGTCCTGTGCCCCTCACGTTACCTTTATTTCACCTACGGTGCCTTTGAGGGTAGATCCAGGCACGTGGAGACTTTGGTCCAGAGCCTCCCAGGCACTTAGGCTCTTACAGGACAATGAAATAAATGGGAATTAGGTTCCCACATACTTTTGAGGATCTGGGTCTTTCAGCTTGAGCCCAACCCCACCTTCTCCACCGCCCCCGCAGGTTTATCTGTGGCAGGGAAGGGTCTTCTGGGGACCGGCGCCCTTTTTAATGGTTACTGCCCCCGTAAGCCTGGCACCAGCTCATTGCTGTGCCTCTGAGTTTAAATGGCCGCCACGACGCAGACTCGCCTCTGACGTTAATTCTGCTCTAGCTCAGCCATGAGTTATCGACCGAGTCCTCCCGTCCCTGCAGCCCAGCCGCACTCACTCGCCTCCATGCTTCAGGCTGGCGCCTGTGAGCAGCCGGAGCTTTGAGGCTCAGGTTCCCCTCCCCCACCCTCGGCTTCGCTGCGCACATCTGCAGCGAGCGACTCAGCTCTAGCGCCCCGGCTGCCCTAAGCGCTGCGGCCTAATCCGGGCCCTGGGCGCCCCCTCACACGCAGCCCCCGGCAAGCTGCAGCAGCAGCCCGCTCCCATGCACCTGCTCCCGCGCGTTCAGCCTGCCCGGACATAGCGGTGGCACAAGGGCAGGGCCGGAGGGCTTTTTCCTTGCACCCACAGGAAGGGCTCACTCCGCGAGGGGTCCTGCTGCAGGGGGTCCCCCCCTCCCCGGCCTGTGCTGCAGCCAGGTGCAGCTGGTGTCAAGGCCCCTGCGCCTTAGGGACAGAGGCGGGGAACAGTGTGTGTGTGTGTGTGGTGGGGGGGCTTGTAACAGCGCCTAGCCGTGATGGGGCGGGCGCGGGGGCGGCAGAACTCTGTCATACAGGTGGAGGGGCCGAGGGAAAACAGCATCCTGCCAGTAATGGGGGAGAGGGGAGTGTAAGTCCTGTCAGTGATGGGGGAAGGGGAGTGCTGTGCTCCGCCACTGATGGGGGTGGGGAGAATAGCAGTGTGTCAGTGACTTGGGGGGGGGGCTCAGTGGATCCTATGACGGATCCTGTGACTGATGGGGGATGGGGCGCGCTGGGCCCCTCTGTGATTGGAGGCACGGAGAAGAGATCCCTGTTAGTGGTGGAGGAAGGGGAGAAACAAGCAACCTGCCAGTGAGAGGGGAGGGAGAGCATTGGGGCCTGTCAGAGATGGGGAAAAGTGAGCAGTGGGTCCTTCATTAACGGGGGAGGGGGAGGGCTGGGTCCTGTCAGTGATGAGGGAGGGGGAGAGAAAATCACCCTGTGACTGAGAGGGGAAATGGATGGGGATGGTTGGGTCCTTTCGGTGATGGGGGTGGGGGGAGAGAAAAGTACCCCATGACAGATGAGGAAGGAAAAGGCTGGGCCATGTCATGTCACTGATGAGGGGTGGGGGAGAAAAGCCCCCTGACAGTGATGGGGGTGGTGGGCAGAGGATGCTTTCAAGGATGGGTATGGGGAGGAGGGAGTACAGCTCCCTGTTAGTGATAGGGGATGGGGAGCACTGACGCCTGTCAGAGAGGGCAGAAAGGGAGTGCAGGGTCTTTCATTAACAGAGTAGGGGGGTGCTGAGCCCTCTCCATATTGGGGGAGCAGAAGTGTAGGGCTCTGTCAGTGATGGGGGGAGAACAGCACCCCATCAGTGGTGGAGGAGGGGAAGGCTGGCCTTCGCCAATGATGTGGGAGAGGGAGAGGAAAGCACCTTGTGACTGATGAGGATGGGGAGCGCTGACCCCTATCAGAGATGGAGTAAGGTGAGTGCTGGCTGCTGGGTCTTTCATTACCTGGGGAGGGGAGCACTGAGCCCTCTCAATGTTGGGGGAGGAGGAGCGTTGGGTTCTGTCAGTGATGTGGGAGGGGTAGAATAGCACCCTGTCAGTGATGGGGAGCACTAGGCCCTGTCACTGATGTGGAGTGTTGTGGTGGGACAACATTGGGGCCTGTCAGTGATGACTGAGGGGGGTGCTGAGCCTTGTCACTGACAGGTTGAGATGGTGATGGAGGGCTGATGGGGATTGGAGTGTTGGGGTGCTGCACCGTGTCAGTGATGGGGGAGGGGAGGGGGGATGTTGGTCCCTGTCACTGATGGGGGAGTGGGCTGGGGGAATGCTGGGCTCTGTCAGTGACGGGGGAGGGGAGTGGGGGATGTTGGGCCTTGTCACTGATGTGTATGGGGTGGTGGGCGAATGCTGGGCCCTGTCAGTGACGGGAGAGGGTTGGTGAAATAGCACTGCGCCTTTTCACTGCTGGTGGTAGAGGTGGTGGGGTAGCAATGGGCGCTGTCACGGATGACTGTGGGGTTGGTGCGGGAGCACTGGGCCCTGTCAGAATGATTGGAGAGGTGGGGACAGAAAACAGGGACATTTCTCTTCTAATCTCTCAATTCCCTGGCCTTAAAACATAAGCGATTTCCCATCTGTGGAATGTATGTGCCCATACTCCTCTCCACTGCCAGCTCTATGGCACACTCTCTCTTCTCCACAAGCCTGCAGAGACTTCTGTGTGGGCTCTGCTACTTAACCCCAAACAGGAGCAAGCGTATGCAGATTGAGGGCTTGTCTACACTGGCACTTTACAGTGCTGCAACTTTCTCGCTCAGGGGTGTGAAAAAACACTCCTCTGAGCGCAGCAAAGCACCAGTGTAGACAGTGTACCAGCGCTGGGAGTCGTGCTTCCAGCACTGGGAGCGCTGGGAGTCGTGCTTCCAGCACTGGGAGCTATGCCCCTTGTGGAGGTGGTTTTTTTAGAGAGCTGTGACTATACAGCCACACTGCCAGTGTGGACTAGCCCTAAGTTTGCAGTACTTAGAATGCTGTTACTCCCTTCATGCCATGGATTCCCCTCAGGGGGCTGCCTGCATCCTTCCTAGCCATGCTTTGTCAGGGGCCACAGAGGCCAGGAGACCAAGCACTGGTGCTCAAGGGATAATTCACAGTTTTCACTACATTACATGGGAATAAACCCTGCAGCATGAGCCTCTGTATCACTTTCTGAAGGTTGAATGATAATTTACTATACCTATGCTAGTCATCTAAGTCTGCAGCCTAGACACAGCAGTCACATAGAAAGCCATGCAGACAGGCAGACAGACTCTCTTAGGAACAACTTTACAATCAGTTCAGAAGAAACCATTTTATTATTTTTTCCCAAAGAAAAAAAGCAATATAAATATTAGAGTATAAAACTTGCGTGTAGCACATTGAACATTGGTCTATATGGATATAAGAGGATATAAGCATTTATATAATATATAAGTATAATTCAATATTAGACACATTGAAAGGACGAGTGTGTTTCATTTCACATACACTTAGAGCACAGATCACACAGAAAGAAGATAAAGAGAAATTGAAAATACTGATGTCCACAAGTTATTTACTGAGATAAAAGTAACACACCACTAGTACAAAACACTCTCTACACTAACTCAGATTGCTGATTAAAAGGAAATATAAACACTACAATTCATCTACAGTACTTCTAGAAGGGTCACATAATAACTACATTAGTTTGTATAAGCCTTACTAACTGTGTAAACTGTTTCTAGTGCAGCCACCGTAGAGGGTGACTGGGATCAGTACAAAAATCATACACAGACAAGTTCTTCGCATAGACAAGTCCTGTTTCTCTAGACACAAGGAGATAGCAATTGGCTAACGAGGCATCAGTTAGTGCACAATGCTCTGGTGAATACTGCCGGACGCTGTGCTGCATCAGGCCAGGCAAGCACCCTGGCTGCTTGGAGAAAGTTTAGTCTGAGTGATCACAGAAGGCTGGATCTTCTCAGATGAGTTATTCATTACAAATTAAAACAATCCTGGCATAGCTATCCCTGTATCTTTGCCTTTGCCTTCCCAGGTCTGTTCCACTTACTTTGATATAGGAAGCTGGCCCAGTGTAAAGGGCATCCCACTTCTCTAGCTAAAGAGGGGCTTAAGGGTTCAATACAGCCTTCCTCACTGAGTAGGTGCTTGTGGAGACTCGATGCCAAGCTGACTTGATGCTAAGGGCACACTGCACGCTCTCTCTTTGCTGTGTCTGGACCAACAGTGAGCAGAGTACATAGTTACAAAGGGCACATAGTGGAGAGACCCTTCTTCCTGACAATCCTATTCTATCAATGTGGTAAAAATCCCAATACCAGTGGTACCAAAAACAAGGCAAAGTCTTGTCCATATTTCTGACTAAATCCAGTGGATTTTGAGTCACATCTAATAGCTTGTGTACAGCTACAGTTTGGACTGGAATGAGCGTGTGGTCTGGCAGTATCCTTCCTCTTGGTCACCTGACTGACCTGGGCCCTCCTGTGAGCATCTCCAGAGCAGCTCTCAGGCCCACTGGCTTTGCAGTCAGTGGCATGTGCTCAGCTCCAGTTCTTGGATCCCTTATTTGTGAGTATGGTCCCTTGGTCCCATCAAATCAACTGTCAGTTACTGAGTATCCAGTTCTGAAGGCTAATGAACAAAGGCTGTCCTTGGCTGCTCTGCATAGACATGGAATGTGCAAATCTCATCACTGCTCTTGGCCAGAGCAATGACTCTTTATAACACATTGTGCCACTTATTACTGAACCCCACTCCCAGAGAGACACTGCTTGGCCAGCACTGAGACTCACTTATCTCACAGTGTATTTACACCATGCTGTACATGCATGCAATGATGACTTCCCTAGATCTGGAAGAGTTCGCTGTCCTACTGTAGATGTGAGGTGAGTATTTTGCATGCAGTTCAATGTGCAGAAATGTGAAGCATTCAGTCTCTATTCCATACAAATAGATCAGAGTTTATTCTCTGATAATATCATTCCTTGCTTAGCTTAGCCTTTCATTGCTTTAAGGAGCTGCAGCTCCTTGTTCTCACAGCAGGTGACTTAGACTTTCTTAACTTGAGTTCCAGGAAAACATTAACTGTACATATAAATATTTACTGCAAAGAATTGAGGAGATGAATTTGTTCTTTAGAGGCCTCTAAATCAATATGGACAGGTTTTGTATAGCTCAATAATGCTAGTGGCATGCTGTGCACTTAGATCTTTTCCACTGCAGATTGAATGCATTCCCTGTCTCTCAGACATCATGATTTTTGTTTCATATTTCAGGCCATCACTGGTCACACTTAAAAAAAATTAATGTTTAAAATGCATCTTAGCCTTATTCCCATCGGCTCATGCAGTGTAAACACTTATTTCTTTTAGGACAACAGGTAAACAGGAACTGAAGCACTCCCTACCAACTTCGTAACTAGGAATCCATTTCAAGGTTCCTCAGGGTCAGATTCACTAATGGAAAATTAAATATCAAAATCTGGAACATGGGTTCTAATTTGGGGAACTTTTTTTTTTTGAAAATGATCTAAAGTATATAAATAAAAAAAAAATCCATGTTACAATTATTTACACTGGGCAAAGCCAAGAACAAGCCTCATGGCTTTCTTGGACCATTCTGGAGCAAACCAAATCCAAAGACATGTTTAAAAGATTTTACATCCTTGCACATTAAATTACCCAAGTGATAGTATAAAATATTAGTTAGTATTAACAGGGCACTTGTTTTTTTGTTTTGTTTTGTTTCCAATTATTTTTCATCATGAGGACTAATAGTAGGAGCCCCTACTCCTAGCTCTGATGATGACATACATTCATAGTGTTTCCTGCTTTTTCATCACAAAATTCACATTCATCCTCTATCCTAGGCTGTGATTTGGGGGAGTGCTGGAGGGGTCTGCCCTGTAGGTCTAAGCTGCTGATGGTCTGCCAATTCTACTTCTTCTCCTTCTTCCCAGACTTCTTCTTGTTTCCACCTGAAGAGCCTGAGCTCTTCCCATCTCGTTTACCTGAGGAGTTGGAGAGGGTGGCAGTGCTGCCGGGGATGTACACATTTTGCCTGTAGTCAGGGACGTGCTGCAGTGTGAACTGGGGGCCATACCTGGTGCTGAGGCCCATAGTGCCGGCTCCTCCTCCCAGAGTAGAGTTCCCATCAGCTGCTTCTGCACAGGGCACAGGAGGGAAGACCATTAATATCTACACGGGTAAATTTTCAACTTATTATTAATTATTCCTATTACAATAGAGCCTTCAGGCATCAACCAAGATTGGGGCCTTTTGTGCCAGGCGCTCCACAGACATATAGTGAGAGACAGTCCCTGTCACAAAGAGCTTGCAATCTACACAGACAAGCAAGACAATGTCACACGGGAGTCAGTGGGAGAGTCAGGCAGTGAAGCCAGATCTCCTGAGTGCTAGTCCAGAGCTTCAGTCACAAGATCATCCTTAGATTGTGCAAAACTGTAATGTTTCATAAGAGGATGAAGGAGCAGATCTGTTCAAAGGCTCTTGGCACAAAGGGGGTGATTACAACATGGGAACAGAATGGGAACACAAATGAATTACTACTGATGAGCCACTACACTGACAGTAAAATGAGTTTCTTTGGCTAAACAGAGGTAACTTTCTAAACCAAAATATCAGAGCCTTCTATTACAGAAAGATAACAATTTATCAGAGCAGCACAAGACTTGCTGTGGCATGGGTGTCAGGAATAGAGCACAGAAGGCATAGGGGGAAGCAGCAGTGCCAGTAATGCATATCTAAGAATGGGGAGCAGGGCACAGGGCCAGGACGGTGGGAAAGCAAGAGAACTCCTATCAACAGTTAAAATCCTTACTTCTCCGACTCCAAAAAATCACTCTCAAAAGAGAGGGGCAGGTCAGTTCCTGGAGTTGCAACAGTTGCAGGACAGTGGGGTGGGAGGAGGTATTGTTTCATATTCTCTGTGTGTATATAAAGTCTGCTGCAGTTTCCACGGTAAACATCTGATGAAGTGAGCTGTAGCTCACGAAAGCTCATGCTCAAATAAATTGGTTAGTCTCTAAGGTGCCACAAGTACTCCTTTTCTTTTTGCGAATACAGACTAACACGGCTGTTCCTCTGAAACCCATGATTAAATGGGGAGTGCAGCATCTGATCATCCCAACCCTGTTTCTGTTCAGAACACGCTGCTGCTAGTAATGGTGCTGTCATTTACATGTTCAGGACAGCGCACTAGGAAGGTGATGGAAAGAAATCCTATGGGCTTATCTGATCTTACTGCTGAACTCTTAGGTTTGGTACTCCTACCATCTGCCAGTCTGGTATTGGCACCTCAGTCTTTGCTGCATGGCTGCTCTAGACCCATCACTAGCTAGCCTCAAGGGGCTAACGTAGTCACACTTTGATCCCTGCCTGACAATTTCAGTACCTTTCACCTTGGTATACATCTGCCACCTAATATTCAAAATACTTTCCTTCCCCATCCAGAGAAACCAGAGCAGTATAAAGGTATTTAAACCAACTACTCAAGCCATAACTATTATGCACTAAGAAAATTCCATCACTGGGTAATGTCATATGTAGCAGTTCTTTCTAACCACTTTAACCCTGGCCCCAGTATTGCTGTAGCATGGGTCTAATGTGGAGAGTAAAATATGTGGGGTAATAGGAAATTCCTATAATGCAGCAGTACTGAGTGGTCTGGGGGAGTTGAGCATAATGTGGTAAATACAGCTGCAGTAGCTTCTGTCATGGTTCTGTGCTGCAATTCTAAGCTGGGGAGCAGAGCATAGGAGGGAGGTAGATAAGTAGAAGGTTCCTGTAGTGCTGATATTACAGGAGCAAAGCAGGGCACTCCTCTCATGCTGTAATGCTGACGTGAAGAGAATGCAGGAGAGAGACATGGAAGGGGGAAAAGGGGGAAGAACTTCTGTAATGCAGGCTGCGAGTCACAGAGCATAGAGAGGACTTGGGCAAGCCGGGAATTCGTGTAATAGTTCAAGGAGTGGCTAATTCACAGGAGTCACCATGCGCATGGACACTGAAGTTACCTATCAGAAGTGATCGAGATCAGAGGTTCTCAAAAAGTGGCCCATGGACCATCATTTGTTTGTGGAATCCTTTCTGATTAGCCACGGAAAATTCTGAGATCTATGCACTGGGGGACTGGGTATTTAGGGGGAAAGTTTTTTTCTAACAAAATAGTCTGCAGAATGAAAAAGATGGATAATCACTGATGCTGGTGACTCCAATGCCCCATGGAGAAGAATTCTGTTAGCTCAAGAACACCTTGGAGCAGTAAGGCAATCTGTACCCTTGCACTAGCTCAATCTTCCCCCTAGCTCAGGAATCACATGCAAGATGGACATACTTTATCAGTTTTGGGGTGAGAAACCTCCTAGGGATAGAATCAGCACAGCCACACCACTTCCCTGACTCTCTCCTGATTACTGCTGAAGTCACTGGGTTAATAATGGGTCTACTATCACCCAACCCAGTAGTATTAGGTGCTTATCCTTAAATAAATCATGCATGGGAACTACTGACCTTGCATTCAATAGCATATATCTGATCTGGAGACTAGAGATCAGTGGGGGTGATAGAGCAAGACTGAGCACTATATGATTGTCCTGCCCAGAATTTTACCCTCATTGTTCTCCTTTCTTCTTTAATCTTTCTTTCAAATTGTATTTTTAATCTTCTTTTAATTTAAAATATTTGCCTTGCTTTTTTAAAAAAAATTGTGCAAATGATCTGTGTTCTGCTACTGAAGACGATCAGCTGGTGATGGAGACCTTAATGCTGGCACCCAGCCAGCTCCTACTTGTGGATTCCCTGCTCCCCTGTAATACAGTACCATAACAATGGGACATATTTGCACTGAACCAAATAGGGTCTCATTTGTAGCATTCTAAACAATGGGTTTTCTTGTTGATTTTTAGAAGTAAAAGGAGAAGAGGCTTGAGGTGTCAGAGGAACACGGTGTAAGGGCCCAAGGGACAGTGCACAAGAACTGCTAGTGGAAGCTCACAGGGCTTTGTAAAGTACAAAACCATGCTGCACGGAAATGCCATTTTGGACTCTGGAGTGAAATTGGTCAGGCTCTCTAACGGTTTATGATTTCCCAGCTGGATTATATAGTCTTGGGATACTTGGCTACATTTCTCTTTAGAACTGATTCCTGAAATTGGGTAGGATTGCTTTTAAGAGTCTATATAGGGGCAGGGAGCATATACATTTTAATTATATTTATTGCTAATCCACAAAGCTAACTATTTATTCCTTAAAAGCAGCAAAGAGTCCTGTGGCACCTTATAGACTAACAGACGTATTGGAGCATAAGCTTTCGTGGGTGAATACCCACTTCTTCAGACGCATACATGTATTCACCCACGAAAACTTATGCTCCAATTCGTCCGTTAGTCTACAAGGTACCACAGGACTCTCTGCTGCTTTTACAGATCCAGACTAACATGGCTACCCCTCTGATACTATTTATTCCTTGGTTTTATAGTTCACCCCATGGAGAGTGTTTAAACATCTTCTGCCTCTCATTGTTTTAAAATGTACCCAGAGACCTGTAATTGTTAATCTCAACAACAATTAATACACTAATTCAGTGTTTCCCAAACTTGGGATGCTGCTTGTTCAGGGAAAGCCCATGGTGGGCTGGGCCAGTTTGTTTACCTGCTGTGTTCGCAGGTTTGGCTGATCGCAGCTCCCACTGGCCGCAGTTCGCTGTGTCCGGCCAATGGGGGCTGCGGGAAGCAGCGACCAGTATGTCCCTCGGCCCGTGCCACTTCCCGTAGCCCCCATTGGCCGGGCACAGTGAACCGCGGCCAGTGGGAGCCACGATTGGCCGAACCTGCGGATGCGGCAGGTAAACAAACTGGCCCAGCCCGCCAGGGGCTTTCCCTGAACAAGTGGCATCCCAAGTTTGGGAAACACTGCACTAGTTCATTAACACATCCTTCAGGGTGCTTCAAAGTGTGCATGGGTGAACTAAACACTTTAGACATGTTCTCGGATTTGACTGCAGATGAGATAACTGCGTGCAGTTTGATTCTTATTTCATTTCACGGTGAGGGTGGGGAATTTTCTCTGTGCTGATTCACTTCATTTCATCTGGCGACAGACTGGCTGCGGGAGGGGACTTTGCAGTTTTAAGTACTGTATGTTTTTTCTGTATCACTTTAAATAGAGCATTCACTGAGGACACAGCAATCTGTCTCCTCAGTCATCAAGTCATTGCTAGTGACCTACCAACCCACTTCTGTGTCATAATGTTACTAAGAGAAATCACCCCAGCTGCCTGTTGAAAATGCACAGTATGGCAGGCCGGGGGGACTGGGGGGGGGGGGGCTGTAACCAGGCTGCAGAACAGGTTTCCTAGTTGAAATAAACATCAGGAATCAGCACGGTTTCCAGTGAGGAAAGTGTCTGTGAAGTTCACTGGCTGCCTGAGGAGCCAGTTTGCCCAGTCTAAGGCCTTGTCTAGCCTGCCACTTTACAGCACTGCAACCTTCTCACTCAGGGGTGTGAAAAAACACCCTCCTGAGCACTGCAAATTTCAGCGCTATAAATTGGCAGTGTAGACAGTGCACCAGCGCTGGAAGCTGCGCTCCCAGCATTGGCAGCTACTCACCTCGTGGGGGTGGTTTTTAGCTCTCCCAGTGCTGGTGCCATGACTACACAGCCACGTTAAAGTGCTTGGTGCTTGTGAAGACATACCCTAAGAATCACCGATGAGCTCAATGTGCTGTTTTTAGTTAACAGGAAATTACAGGTGAAGAGCAAGACAACAGATATGTTTAATTCAGCACTAAGCTGCTTTTCTGCAGGCAGGGTTTCAACCCCTATTGGCTAGTAACTAGTCTTAAAGTCATTTATCAATACTAATTCAAGCTTGCTGCAGGTCTGAATAACTTTGTACAGAGACATACATAATAGACTGTCTATATAGCTTCAACAATGCGGAGCCTTGTGGCACCTTAGAGACGAACAAATTTATTTGGGCCCAGATAAATTTGTTAGTCTTTAAGATGCCACAAGGACTCCTCATTGTTTTTGCTGATACAGACTAACACAGCTACCACTCTGAAACTATATAGCTTCAGATTCCCTGACACTCCTGTAAGGTAACCTCCCTTTATACTGCCACTTATGGTAAATTGTCTGGAGGCTCTTATGGTCAAAGTAAGATGAGGAAAATAAATTAAACTATCCAGGATCTTAGATTAGACAAAAATAACCAACTCATGTCTCTGTTTCTTTTACAAACTGAGCTCATCTCTGGCTAAGATAACAAGCTTTGGGGGGCTTAGCACTTGAGCACTTGAGACTGCGGCTGCTGTTGGGGCTTTCAGTAAACCAAATATAGAGACCTTTATTTAACAATGTATAGAGCAGCACAGAAAGCCATGCCTTGGCTTGCAGACAGGTGGTGTCTGAAAATCCAGGCAGGACTATCCTGTGCTTTATTTCACTCACTTTTTCTACCACCACAAATCAAACCAGCTTTTTCTTCCTCTACACATTGCATTGTATCAATTTAGATTTTATCCACAACATTTTAAAGGGAGGTTTCAGAGTAGCAGCCATGTTAATCTGTGTTCGCAAAAAGAACAGGAGTACTTGTGGCACCTTAGAGATTAACCAATTTATTTGAGCATAAGCTTTTGTGAGCTATAGCTCACTTCATCGGATGCTGTAGCTCATGAAAACTTATGCTCAAATAAATTTGTTCGTCTCTAAGGTGTCACAAGTACTCCTGTTCTTTTTAAAGGGAGAGTTCCTAGAATTAGATGCCATCATGTGTCTAGCATTTAGTCCCTGATTTAAAAATGATCTTGGGTATTCCTCAGTCTGCAAAAGGGTAAATCGCTTCAGACTCTCAGAAGCCCTGACTTTTCTAACTGCTGAAGAGCTTTAGGCCCTTCAGACTGGGTGTGTAAATGGAAGCATTTCAACTGGCTAGCAAAGCTCGGGTGTCACAGCACCAGGGGGCAGGGACTGATGGTTCGATTAGTCTTCCCCTCCCTGCCCTCACCCCTACCTAAACTTCCATATGCTGGAGAGAGAAAATACAAAAAGAAGGCATGAAATCTCTGAGGTGCTGTTATCATAGGCACTGACGCCGTGGGTGCTCTGGGGCTGGAGGAAAAAAATAGTGGGTGCTCAGCATCCACCAGCAGCCCTATGATCAGCTCCTTCCCCTCCCTCCCAGCCCTGCCACCCACCACGATCAGCTGTTCAGCAGTGTGCAGAAGGTGCTATGTGGGAGGAGGAGGACTGGGGGCAGGAAGAGGCAGGGGGTGTGGGTGGGCGAGGGATTGGGAGGAGGTGGGGCAGGGATGGAGCAGGTGCAGGAAGCGGTCGGGGAGGGACAGGGCGGGAAGAAGTGGGAAGGGGGTTTGGGGGAAAGGGTGGAGTGGGGCGGGGTCTGGGGAGAGCAGGGGTCAAGCTCCCTCTGGGAACTGGGGAATTCAGCGCCTCTGGCTCTTATTGTCAGAAAAGAGATTATAAAAATGGCACCTTCTTCCTCAACAGTGAGTTAGATCTGCTGCCTTTACTGACGGAAGGTGGGTGTTTATACCCTGCCCTCAGGGCAGCCCTGCAGATCCCACACAGCTAGGGAGAGTGAGCTGGTGGCTCGTCTGCTTCCCTGTCATCAGCAGAATTGGCGGCAAGATGAAAATCATCATGTGGTGCTCCCGTTACGAGTTAATGATTAACAGAACTAACATGGTCAAAATGCTACTGGACATTGATTTGTCGATCTCCCAGTATGATTAGCAAAGTGGCCAAATGAAAGGAGAAGACGCAATAGCATTGTTACTGAATTTAACTGAGTTCCAATTGATGAAACTTTGGACAGGATTGGTGCCTGTCCCAGGGAGAAACCCATGGAAAGGGAGGAGGGGGGAAAGAGAACTCCAGGAGGCTGACCTTGCAGGTTCCTGAGCAGCCTCCCTTCAAGAAAAGAGAGGCATTTGGGAGCTGTAGAGTTTGCAGAGAGTGAGGTCTCCCAACTTGAAGTCCTGAGGATTTATGGGGAAGGGAACCCAGAACCATAAAGACAGGAGCCATGCTCCAGGGATAGCTTCACCTTTGCACAGCTGGGCTGCAATGGAATGACTTCACCCCTGGAAGAAGCCCTATTGCTATTAGCTGGGTCTGCCTGCAGCTGCTCACTGGCAGCCTTGAACAGGATCCAGACAGTCAATGCCGCTGGTAACTGTATTAACTCCCAAACAGATTGGATCTGCAGGGCATGGCGCTGGAGAGCACAGCCAGTCTCCTGTTCTGTCTCCTCACACTCAGTGGAGGGGCATCTGTGATATCCCAGGCTGAAAAAGGGGAAATGGTGCAGCAGTGGTATCACTGTCCCCCTTCTGGCTTGAATGTAAGTGGCTCTTGCATGGGCATGCGGCAAATGGGAGGTGCAAGAAACCTTTCCTCCATCCAGCCCAGCACCTAAGCATATGAAGAGTGATGTTGAAGTCAATTACACTATTAATGTGTTTAAGGATCAGCACATGGTTGTGCACTGTGCCGAACTGGATCAATATGGTGGCTGTGCAAGAGCCCCTCACAAGAGCAGTCCTGGTCTCTCTACACTCTGGTGAGAACAGAGACCAGTGGCTTCTGTTCCCCATCCTCCCACAGCAAGATACAGAAAACAGGGCGGGGAGGATTGGGGAGGAGACAGTCACGGCCCTCTGCCCATCTTCCATTCTGCAGAGTGGAGATGACTCATCAGGGAGAGCAATTTGTTACAGTCTAATGGACTGAACAGATTTCACATATCCCCAGGAGCATAGAAAAACCCTGCAGAGGGGCATCACATCAGGGCAGGGCATCACCAATCTGGGCAGTGGCAAAAAAATGCCATGACTTATCACGTGGGTAGGGAGGAGTTTTGCCAGAGTAAGGGTCCCTCACAGGTAAGTGTAAACTGATGAACAATTTAGAAAGAACCCATTCAGCTTTTAGATCCCAGGGATTGCTGGGCAGGCAAGTAGAAAAATAATCATGTTATTTGTAAAGTGAGGACATGTTAGCTGGAGTCATGGAGAAATGATAAACATATGGCCACCGTGGCTATTTTTACAGAGTCCATTTACAGAGTAGAACCACATTTTCACATTGTTTCTATTCTTAAAAATATATATATAAAAGAAAACACTCTAATGTCCAAGACCTTCATCTCCTTAACTGGCTGTGGCAGCTGTTTGCTTGGGCTGCTCAGAGTCTACAGAGAGACTTTCAGGGTGACAAAGTTCAGGCTAAAGCAGCTCTCCAAAGAAGAAATACCAATTTGAAATCCTCACTCCAGACTTTTTTTCTGCCAAGAGCAGAGAGAAAACATCCTAAGCATTTTTGTCAGTGTTTTATGGCTATGCTGTTTTTTCTATCTTTAAAATTTAGAGGGAATAGACTTAAAGGTATTTATAAGCAAAGACTCTATGTAAAACAGCTAGCCTCTTTATCTTGAATTCTGTATTCTAATGACTTGTCTATTATGATTCATTAACAAAAGTGCACCAGGATCACAGAGCTACAAACACTCTTCTGTATTTCCTGTCACTCTCACATAACAATAGATGGTAAAAGTTAAAAAAAAATATCCACAAACCACAGTCATAATAATTGCAAAGAAAGTATTTTAAAGTTGAGATATTCAGTTATGCCTCAGCCCTCTCTTTTGCTGTCAGCACTAAAAATGTGTCTGCATTTTGCTACCAAAGATGAGCTAGCAGCTAGAATAATTCTTGGCTGTGTGGGTACAACCTGGTCATTAAAGATCTACCAACTAATATTTGTGATCACAGTTTTTCATGGATGTAAAATTGCTCCTGTAAAAAAGGAGTTCTCTTGTTTAAAAATCTGGCCCTTTGTTCCAAAACCAAAAAATGTCTCTTTTCTGCTACTGACATGTTATTCCTTCCCTCGTATGTGAGAATGGGACAGAGGGGGACTGATTATCCCACATCTGTCTACTGCACCTTCCTCTGAATCATCTGGTGCCGGTCACTGCTGGAGACAGGATACTGGAGTAGATGGACCTTGGGATCCAGTACAGCAAATCCTATGTTTCCAATACTATGTTTCCATGTCCTGTCCACAGCCAAGTCTCCCAACTTGCTCCGTTTCTCAAATTCACCCTCACATGTACTGGTGTATCAGATCAGACATTGCATATTTGTTTTATTTTGGGATCAGACTTTCTATACAACTACACATATACATTTTAAAAAAGCGAGAGAGACACTCCAAATACAGGTTCTTCTATTTATATCACCATATTATGAGCCAGATACCACTCTCTCAAGAATGCAGATGCTGGAGATTCTCAGCCTTTACCCTCCTGCCTTACTACACAACAGAATGACTATCTCACATCAACCGCAAACCCTGCTCCATGTTGTTAATTCGCCATTCATATCCTATTCATATCCTAACCTATTCATATAATGGGTGCTGAAACTAAGGGGGGGTGTGTGTGGCGGGGGTGGGAGGTGCTGTTGCTGCTGCTTGAAGTGGTTTCCATCATATGCAGGGTTTACAGTTTGATCCAATGGCTCTCAGCACCCCCACTGTACAGATTGTTCCAGTGCCCCTGTTCATGTCTCTTTTGCATAGTAATACAAGTACCAATGGTATTCTGATGGTATTTGCTTAAGAAGTACTTTAGGAAGCCACATCATCCCTGCCAGTTGCTCTGAACCACTGATAATATTAAAATCCTGTCTAATTACATGCACTTTAAATGTTACAGCATTACAAATGATGCAATTATCTTGTGCTTAAAGGAAACTGACCATTTGCTGATGCCAGGATCATGGCTTGAAGCATTTCCGTATCAAACTGGTTGTTTGGCCAAGCTCCACCTTCTTCTCCATTCTGAGAGCTAAGGAAAAGAAAATAAACAAAGAGTTACCAAAGGCTCAGCAGAGAGGGTGGGATTCTGTCAGATATTGCCTGTAGAAGTACCATGCTCTGTAAAGAAAGTTAATACTATTGATTATTATAAGGTCACACCTGCTCTCGACAGTGTCCACAGCGCCTCTCCCCTGCTCATCTCCCCAGCACACAGCTGGCTCTAGCTCTCAGTGCTCAGCATCTGTCCCCCACTCCACAGCTGGCTTTAGCTTTTAGTATTACAATGCAATATGGTATTTTTATATTAATATAAAGCATATCCAAAATTTATGAAATATACAGCTTTGAAAATCTAAAATTACTGCTTCAGAGTAGCAGCCGCGTTAGTCTGTATTCGCAAAAAGAAAAGGAGTACTTGTGGCACCTTAAAGACTAACCAATTTATTTAAGCATAAGCTTTTGTGAGCTACATTTTCCACTTTTATGCATCCGATGAAGTGAGCTGTGGCTCACGAAAGCTTATGCTCAAATAAATTGGTTAGTCTCTAAGGTGCCACAAGTACTCCTTTTCTTTTTGTAAAATTACTGTGTTTTCATTGCTGAAAAAACACTGGCTCTCCTGATAAGGAGAAGAGATCTGACACCGCTCAGGGGAGTGCTCTTACCTCTGGACTACAAGAGGGAGTCTCATTCTTTCTCTGGTCCAATTAACATTTAATTACAGTGGAGTAACTTCAGCGGGAAAAACTGAGGAGACCCAAACCAGAATATCCCATAGTTCCAGCACTCACCTGAGTGGTAACAGGTGTCTGGTCAAATCTCTTACTTATCATGCAGAGGGAGGACTTGAAGCAGTGGTCTACATCCCCCAGGAGAGTATCCTAACTACTGGGCTAACGGTGGGGTGACCAGATGCCCCAATATTTGGGGCTTTGTCTTATATAGGCACCTATTACCCCCATCCTCATCCCAATTTTTCACTCTTGCCATCTCTTCACCCTAGCTAAAGATCAGAAGGGAGGTCCAGCTCTCTCTCCTTGATGTTTTATGTGGACTTAGGCAGACTCTCAGCACCCCTATCAGATCAGGCCCTGCATATGGGTTAGGTGGAGGACGGCCTGCAACATTATCTAATTCAAATATGACCATATAGATCATTGTTGCAACCACTGTTATGTATTTGCAGCAAATATTGTACAAAGGTTGTCAGGTGAGGTGTCTATGGAAAGGTTATGATTTGCTGCTTATGGTTATGCTATCTGTATGCATGTATCATTTTTGTATTTGAAGTTGTAAGTTGTAAGTATTGGCCCTATACTTGGATTTCAAATGTTTGCTCCTAGGGTAACGCCCACAAGTTAACGCCCAGCACATCTTGGAGGGACTGTTCAAATTAAGTGGCTCATCAAGAACATTTAACTAACAATGGACCATGGGAGACGCCCATCTACACTTAATGGAATGTCCTGCTGTGATTAGGCAAAATGTATGGACATGGGACTTGCCCATGTGACTCCAAACTCCATCTTGTTGCTGTAATTTTCCACAGTAAGAACAATGGGATACCCTCCACATGGCAAAAGCTATAAAAGGCCCTGGAAACACCTCCATTTGGTCTTCAATCCTGCTTCTTACTTCTGGAGCAACCTTGCTACAAACAAGCTCTGAACAAAGGACTGAATGACCCATCCAAGCTGTGGATGTACTCCAGAGACTTGACTTAAGCCAGAAGTTTATTCCATCACTGCTACAAGCCTGAACCAAGAACTTTGCCATTACTGTATGTAATTCATTCCTTTAACCATTTTTAACTCTCATATTTCTTTCTTTCTTTCTTTCTTTCTTTCTTTCTTTCTTTCTTTCCACCTTTAGATTTTAGATATTAAAGGATTGGCACCAGTATGATTTTTGGGTAAGATCTACGTAATATATTGACCTGGGTGTGTGGCTGGTCTTTTGGGATCAGAAGAACCTATTATTTGATGAGACTGGTTGTAAAGAACCACTCATCTATGAATCCAGTGTTTTTGGTGGTGATATAAGAACTAGAATGCCTGAGGAAACTGCCTTTATGTTTTCTTGTTAGCCAGTGTGGTAAAACAGGAGTGTCCTTTTGTGGCTGGTTTGGTATATCTTATAAAAGAATAACCACCAGTTTTGGGTTGTGTTTGCCCAATTTCTCAGCAGTTCATCCTGAATTTGGCATCCTCAGTTGTGACCCACTAAGGCTCGGTTACAGGGCCTATCCCCAGATTCATGGATTGCACTGGGCTATAGGTGGGAAATAGGCGCCTGGATGTCCAGAGCGAGGAAGCACTGTGCATGCGCCGAGGCAGAAATATAGGTGCCTAGGTACCACAAAAACTTAGGCACCGAGTGAGTTTGGGCGCTTACAGATTAGACAGCAGCTGCACAGGTGCTTGGTGGATCTCAGTGTCACCTAAAAATGGGACTTAGGTGTCTAAAGTCTGGGAGTTTAGTGCCTGAGCATGTTTGTGAATCTGGGCCTAGGTGCCTAACTCACATGGCACCCCCAGCCACCTATGTGCATCTTTAAGTGCCTAAACGCCTTTAAAAATTTGGTCCTATGGGCCCAATCCTGCAAACATGTGTGAATGTAATTGAGGAAAATCACTTATATCCATCAGTGTTTGCAAGATTGGGCCCTGCATTCCCATCTGAAGGCTATGTAAGGTGAAGGCCTTTAGGTTGTTTCAGATAAGCTACACTGTGTAATCCCATTCATGACAAGGTTTCAGAGGACACCCAAAGCCTATGGGGGTGTTTTCCAAATGGTGCGTCCAAATGGTCGCGGGAAGGTTGTAGATGGGTTGCCATGTCCAGGGTTGGGCCCTGATATAGTCATACATATACTTCTCCTAACCTGGTGGGGAGAGGAGGCCTAGGGATTGAGGGATGGGCTGCTGGGCAAAACCTGAGTGGCTTTGAGACCACATGTGCCTGGTTGCAATGCCCAGAATGGGAAGCCAGGCCCAGCCCCATGGAACAGGCTGCTGTGGGGTGAGTGCAGATCTAGCTCACTCTCTGCCCCCTGCTGCCCTGGGCTCTCCCCTCAACACCAGACCAGAATTAAGATTGCAGTGCCAGGGCGGAGGGTGCATACATGTAAAGGTGAGTCACCCCCCCCCCCAAAAAAGGGGGGGGAATGCAGTTGTGGGGGGCTGGGGGGGTCACCTTAGCAAAAATTTGGGAACCACTTGCCTATGGATTAACAGGGGTTTGGATTAAGGGTGTGGAGTGGGAAGACATCTGACCAGTGCTTAAAAAGCACAAACCCAGAGCAGAGGGGAGATATACCACCCACTAGCTCTGCAGAACCTGAGAGGCAGGGGAGAAAATAGCATGCTACCACTATCTTCTTACAGCAATAGGGTGAGAAAGTGAGAGGGGGCTAAAGGAGGATAGCTAACATTTAAAGTCTGGCTCCCCAACTGCAGGGCTCAATGGAAGCTGATGGATGGCTTGTTAGCACTACAGACCTGTCAGTCAGCTTTGCAAATCTCAGGGGCTGCAACCGAACTTCAATTAACCTGGAGTTTTGGTTAAATGAGGCTGCAATCTATATTCTTAGATACAGTACAACATGCTTCTCAATGTTTGCCAGATGGCCAGCAGCTGTGTTTAACATTGTTTGCTTATTGATTTGCAATCATATTGTCCCCCAAAGGGGTCCAATGAAACAATCCAAGAACCCCAAGATCCTCTTCATATTAAATTATTAGTTATTATTATTTATTTATGGTAGCAGCTAGAGGCCCCAACCAACATCAAGGTCTCCTTATGTAGTCTGTGTACAAACACATAGCAACAAACAGCCTTGCCTCAGAGACATCAGAGTCTGAATAAACAGCACAGACAAAGGAAGGATTATTATCCCCATTTTACAGATGGGACACTGAGGTACTGAGAGACTACAGGCCTGTGGGACTTAGGTGTCCAGGTACTTATCTGCATCTTTAGACACCTAAATTCCTTTGAAAATCTGGCCCTCAGCCACTTGCCCAAGGTCACACACAAAGCCTCTGACACAGCCAGGAGTTGGACCATAATCTGCTGAGTTCAAGTCCAATGCCTTAGCCATGACATCATCTTCCCCTTCCACACAGGTGACGGGTATAATAGGTGCCACCACGGATCTGCCGCAGGATGTCTGGGCCGTGGTGGCCCCACCTGTGCACCGCCTCTTCCCCGAGGCCTCCACTGCCTGCCACTGCCTGGTGAGTCCCTCCTCTCTCCATTTCACCCCCCTCTCTGGAGGTCCCTGCCACATGCCGCATTCATCCTCTCATCCACTCCATTCCCCCATGAGGCCCCCACCACCCGCCACTCCCTGCGTCCCTCCTCTCCTGCACACACCCACTCCCCCAAGCCCTCCCCCATCCCTCTCCCCGGCTGTTGCATCCCTCCTCACCCCCCTCTGCCCAGAAGCTGGCAGGGGCTCAGCTCCGGCCAGCAGCCTGGCACTTGTGGCTCAGGCTGACCGGCAGCCTAGGGTGGCTTGGGCCAGTGGCTTCGGGCAGCTTGGGCCAGTGCTCAGGCTGGCTGGTGGCCTTGGGTGGTTTGGGCTGGTGGTAGGGCAGGTCATCAGTTTGGGCTGGCCATCAGCTTGGGCTGGCCATCAGCCCAGGGCAGCGCTCAGGCTGGCTGGGGTCCAGGGATCAGGGCTGTTTGGCCAGGGGTCCTCCAGCTACCGGTGGGGCGGGAGGGATAGAGGAGGTGGGAAGGACTCGGGGCTCCGGCAGGCAGGGGGAGATGGAAGGGGTGAGGCATGGGCAGAGCCTCTGGTGGAAGGGGCAAGGCAAGGGGTAGCCTCCCTGAATGGGGGTTTCACCTGCAGTCCATGCCCTTCCATTTTCGATATTACTCCACTAATATACATAGCGGGACTGGCCATTGCAAACTATCTTCTGAGCAGTATGCAAATTATTGTGTAATTTGCAGAGGAAGCCCAAGTAGGAGGTATCCAGGGATTTTGCCTTTGCAATATTTGCTGTCTAGTGAAATCTG